CAAATAGAGCAGGTCTAGACCGGACTACTTTTAACATTTACAGAGACCCAACAGTACCACCATAATTTCTGGTTCTAAGAATTGTACTGGTACTTAAAATGGGTTCATGGGCCAGAACAAGTATAACACACATGATCAACCACTGGATTCACTGTGTTTCATGGACAGACAAGTAAACGATGCATTCCCGCTTCCCCCTGGTTTTATACTCTATAGGCAGGAAGTATCTCAAAGTCACAGGGTGAAGAAACAGGAATTGTGCTTAAATGGGTCATTCACAAGACCCAGTGCATGACAAGCAATACACCGGAAAGAAGATTTTTTGTGGTCACAGCCTTTCCCCACATTATTCAGGTTATTGTAACTATAGTGATCGACTTCAATGAGAGAGAGAGACCGAGTGAGACAGAGAGGGAGAGGGAGATGGGGTGAACATGTGACAGTGTAACTGTGGACTCATGAGGAATTCAGAGCGAGACAGTGGTTGTCTGTGTGAAATAGGCAGCATGGAGAAGGCCTGTGACATTGATCTCGCCTTACCACTGGGATCTTCTTCCTCTTTCTCTGCACTGTCAATGCGGCAAATGAGAATGTCCTGGTGGAAACATGCAGAGAACAAAAACAACTCAGTTTCTTTAATGTCTTTTCTAATACCCATAATCTATACAAGAGCTACTATTACTCCCAATTTTGTATGGACACTCATTCACCAGCAGCACAATGAACTACAGAGGCATTTACTGAAGGAAATGCATGTGATTGTTGGGTAGGCTATATTGATGCTGATTAGCATTCTTTTTGGATGACTTCCATTCAAATGTAAACTAATCTGATCTTCATGTGTTGGCTACATGCAATGGGTGTAGTAAATGGGTGCTTTAAAAACACCTCTGCATTAGGCTTTAAATTATATATGATCATATCAAACTGAGCTGATGTGTGTGCAATAGAACCAGTGTGCAACACTGAGCATTTTGAGACTTGAAAGGAGTTTGTGTTGCACGTGGTGTGTGTTACATGCAATGCAACAGAATAGGCTTCCATAGGTTTTAATGGTTTAAATAACTCATAATACAAACTCTAAATTTCACCATAATGGCCTTATGTAGTTAATCAGTGTGAAGTACTGAACATTTTAAAATATCATTGGGGTTTTGTACTCTACAATATAGCAAATTAAATACAATGAATGTTTCTGGGTATTTTCTTTAAAATTATACAACTGAAAAAAATGTATAAGTTAAAAAAGAGAAAAACCATATCACCTCTCTACAAAGAAATATGCACAATTTGACAGATATCTTGCTAGCATTAAAATTGTATGAGAGACATATCTAAAGTGTCTTTAAAATCATATTTGTCAGTGATTTCTCACTAAATATGTACATTTGTTGATGCATCCCACTAAAAATATATTAATAATCTCTATATAAGACAAAAAAGCACTTCTGGAAGACACATATAATGCAAGTGAGACTTTAGTTATTTATTTAAATATTCGCTGCCATATTGGACTATCAACTTCATTAATACCCCAACAAACTTTTCAACTGAGATATAGATTTTATAACTTTAGCTGACTGCAACATTGAGTCTCTACTGTAAGCATGAGGGAATTTCCTTTCCTCTCCTTTCTGTGACTGAACAAATTAAAAAATACTAGACAACCAAAGGCTCTGGCCAGAGTATAGAGAATTGGATTTGCACTGTAAACGCGGACACATTAAGCGAAGCAAACACTGTGGAACAATGTGGATTTTTTTTTGTCACAGTGTTAAAAGAATAGAAACACACACACACATCAAACCAAGTTGTGGTGGGAAGTCCTTCAGATCCATGCTTAGTTAAAATCTGTCACCAGGCATGAGGAAGTTTTTACACAGCAGCGTCAAACCGGTAAAAATAACACCAACAGTTAGGCCGCTTTGCCTTCAAAATAAGAGTGCTGAAAAGAGTTGAAGAAGGTGAACAAATTCATTCACTTATATTCTCACACATTTTCATGGTATATTCGGTAAAATATTTTATGATTTAACTCCTTTGTATAATACCGTAGGTGGGGCATGTGCCTACGCAATGCTTTTACGTTACAATAACAATAACCATTTACGTCCCCGTTACTTTGAAGGTTAACATAACCGGAAGTCGCGTTTGCTGCTCCGACGAGCTTTACACGGTCGGTCGGCGCAGTGGACTTGTGGAAGTCCCTCGACTGCAGATAAAGTGTTGTTTTCAGTGTTAGTCATACTGTGTCACCATGTCAGTATGTGTAGTTTCTTTTTGACGGTGGACAGGCAGCGTTTCCATGATGGCGGTCACCGCGGCACGGGCGTTTCGATGATGGCTAAACTGAAAACTTCCCATAGATAAAGTGAGCAAACTTTGAGCGAGGAGTCATTCCCAGACTTTCCCCTGTTATCACTAACTAACGTTATAGTAACTAACACCGCCATGGCATACACTGCCTCTGTTCCGCTATGGGCATTTGCTTTTAGTTTATGCTTCGGCTTGTCCAAGTGCTACTTTGCTATACCATTAAAAATATACCCAGGAAAGTACAATTTATCCTCGACTGTGAATTTGACTCGACAAGTGGCCTTAACGTCGGATGGAAACGGCCTCTCGTTGGCCTCTGATCCGACTGGGACAGTCAACTTTCTGGACATGGTCAACAACCTGCAAGGGGACTCTGGAAGAGGCTACTACATAGAAATGTCCATTGGTACTCCTGGTCAAAAGGTAATTTAATCTAATCACAAACACTGTTACTGTTTGCATATGTTGTGTTTGATCATTTGTGCAGGTGGTTTTCAGAAGGGTTAGTCTCACTTAATTGTTAGGATTTTAAAAAAAAGAAGAAAAGTACCCATTTCTCTCCTTTCTTTTGTGTTTCTACTTTACTTTTTAGTCATTGTCATGTGGTTTCCCTCCCTGATGGCAGGTCTGTTGTGTCTGCTGTGTGCGAACAGGGTCTGTCCACCATGTGATCCACTGCAGGGGGGCTGGGCTGTGTTGGTTTCACTCCAGGGTCTCAGCTACCTACCTGTGCAAGATCTGATATTTGAAGATATACGATATTGTGTTTCGCCTATCAGATCAATTTACCGTGATAATCTTCAGTATCCTCAAATGGCTTGACTTGAAGAAGCCGTGTAGCTCACCAGCATACAGTTTTATATTGATTTCCTTATTTATTTTGAAGAAGGGGACAAGGAGGAGCCTGTGTCTTCCAGTCATTCCCAAAATCCCAAACTTGTCAACCTGGTTGAAGGCTCAGTTTACCTGTTATATCCCCCCACAAAAACAGGTTAAACTGGATGTGTGGAACTAGTATAAAGTCAAAACTACGAGGTGCCTATCAGAAAAAAGTAAGGTAAAGTGATTCCAGTATGTTTCACTGCCAAGTATGAAGTATATTCTCAGGATTATCGTGATAATATTGTATATCGCAATTATTTTGGCCCGAGATAATCATGACACAAAAGTTTCAACTTAAAAACAGTTTGATATGACGCCAACAGCAGGAAAAAAAAAACCCAGACTCTGATCATGGGAAGATGAGCCTGGCATATTTTACTAGCACAATCTGTATAAAGTAAAATCAGCTGTTAATTTCCAGGTCTGCCTGGGACCATTATGGCAGGATAGTATCATGGCTGTGGGGTGCAGCAGCTGGCTCAAGTCTTTACAGCCTCGGGGTCTGTAGGTAGACTAACCCCCCGCTCACATGCACTCACATGATGCTGCCTGTGAGGACCACTGTTTTCTTACCAGGCAGCTGACGGGGATTATGAGGCTCGCAGGGAGCAAAGAGCAGCCACACAGTTGTACAAAAACTGCCCTCATTCAGGCATATTTGCTGCTTATTTTCTTTTGGTTTCACGGAGATATGCCTGTGTAATTTATTGTCATCGTTTTATATTGCTCGTTATGTAAAGTGCCTAACAAGATCATATTAATGATTAAGAGGGTCTAAATGGTCCCGGAAGAGTTGGAAGAGGGATTCTCCCCGTCACTATTAAAAATACATTACACTTGAGGGGGTTGTAGGTTTAAGGCTCTGCTTTGCCATTGTGTTGTAAGTAGATGTGTTTGAAATGGAGCTTAAACTAAAGGTGAATTATCTCATTAGTGATTTGACCTGTTGTTCCTGGGCCTCTCAAGTTAAACAGATCAGAGCTTTTAAGACTCTTGGGTGGCACAGCTGAGTTTCTCAGGCTCACAGAGGCTTATCAATGCTGCCTGCCTTGTCACTGCCCTGTGTCAACCTCAGAAAGTATCATGTTGCCGCACTTGTAAGAGCACAGTTCCCACACCACTTTACAACCAGGCCCGAAGTTGTAAAATAAGCTTAATACGTGCTGTTCTACAACACTGCAGTTTACGGTGTTGCTCTAAGGAGAAAATTGCTTCCTCGGACTGCTTAGAGAGCGAGTAGTACACCAGGCTTCACTACACTATGGTATATATGTAAGACTGTGAGTCTGTGATGACACTGCAACAACACCTCACCTGTTGATTATTAACATTTTGACTTGTCGTAGCAGGAACCGCACAGATACAATTTTATAACCTTTATATCAGTAAGTCTTGCCTGCAGAGCTCAATCCACTTTGGTTCAAATTGGTTATGCAGTGCCAAACTGTCCTGTAACTCAATACTATTGAGTTATACTCTCAATATTATTCCAACTAAATGATGATGTTATTACAGGGCTGTGGTGTTAAATGAGGCACTATTCAAATGAGCCACTAATTGCCGCATCTGTTAGCATATGGCACAGCCAGGCTGAGGTGTCGGCTGGAGAGCCTCACATCTGCTAATTGGTACAAACAGGTAGCAGATGCACGTTGCCGCCATGGAGCCACTGCCAATTAGACAGTGAGCGCTCAACTGCGGGCGACTGCAGGCTGCCGCAGCAGCGGGGGGAACGGATTTGCCCGAGGCTCAGCAGCCAAGCTAAGGGAGGATAGTGTGACTAGAAAAGATAGGCAGTGTGGGGATAAGGAAATGCCCCTGCTTCCCCTCCTTCACCACGAGGTTCCAGTGTTTTCCATTCTGGCCGGTTTGGCCGGTTCAGGCCTCGTGTGAATGGACTGATGCCAGCAGCAGTGAAGGCAGCAGAGGGATTTGAGATGGCACAGCCACAGTGATGGGACCAGGCCTGTGCAATGAGGAGGAACTGATAAGCCTGACTCTCTTGGACTTGCCAACTGGGGCTTTCTGTGCCCGACTGAACGGGTCGATAAGACATTGTTGATAATTATTTATATAGATACGTAAATAGTTTTTTCTTTATTTTTTAATTATTCATATTTATTTTAATTGTTTCATAGTGACTTTATGCACTTGGTGAACAGTCTTGGTTTTAATGTGATCAGCTTGAGTTCTTCAGGGAGCCGAGCATGAGGAAGTGGATTTTTTTTCATGTTCCTTGTTTGTTTGCCTAACATTTTAGATTAACAGCTTCCTGTTGGTCTGGTTTGTCTAAAAACAAAGGTTCAGCCAGGAGTGACGAGAGATTGTTGGAGTTACTGTTTGTCTGTGCAGATGAGCGTGCTCAATGAACACTCAGTATTTTCACTGTGTCATGTGACATCACTGAAGTGCCGCCATATAGACCTCTTTGTTGTTGAGTCATCAGGTGGCTGTGGGGCATTAGGTTTATGACCCCCCTCATGGTGAGGAATGCTTGCTGGTGAGTTGTTAATGTGGCCGCAGCTCAGTAGCGGAGGTGAGGTGACAGAAGTCGGTTGACTAATTAGTTCCTGCTCGTTGACTCTACGCCTGGAAGACAGCATTATCTCAGCTGCTGTTAGCTGGTCCCCACTGTCCACATGACACGTAACAAGATGGCTGGATGGGTCATACGGTCATGTCAATAGCTGGAGGCTGTCGTGTTTGACTCATAGATCACACATTAGAGAGCAATTATCTCAGAGGTGCAGAGTCGTTTTTGCTCAGTGGCAGCAAGCTCGTTTCTCTAGAAAGTAGGGATACTCCAGTCAGCTGTACAGTGCACACTTCACCTCAGTTTGGAGTAAAATATGTTATTCAAATGAGTCTGCAACAAAACTGAGTTTCTGTTGCTTTCATTGTCCAGTGTAATAATGCCACACAGCACATTTTTGCTGTACAAACACAAACAAACATAAACAATAGACATACCAGTAGTATGTCTTGATGAACTCCAATGTGGATTTTTCAGATAAGTTTCCACGAGTCGTCAGTTTTTTGTATCAAGTTGTGTACATTCCTGTCTTTTCTCTTCGCTGTTCCACGTGTAACTTCTTCATCATGTTTGTGTTTTTATTTACTGTAAGGAATTTTGTTGTTCTCCTTCAACTTCTTTTTCCTCCTCTATGTATTATTGTACAAACAGAAGCTGCAATGTCTCAGCTGCATTTAAAAAGCTTAAAGTCTTCTTATCAACGTGTCACACTATTCAACAGCTATCACTTTACCCTGTGACTCAGGAACTCTGTAAGTAAGGGTGTGGTTGTCTTGTAGCAGATATCTAATAGCTGTTTAAGAAAACTCTGCCTTGTGTGTTTCAGTTGAACATCCTGGTGGATACAGGCAGCAGTAACTTTGCTGTGGCGGCGGCTCCACACCCATTCATTACTCACTACTTCAACACTGAACTGTGAGTGACTGAAACACGTTGTGTAATCCAGCTGTTGGAAATGTCATACCAATATATATATATATAGATAGATAGATAGATAGATAGATAGATAGAAATTAATATATCATATATAATATACTATATATAACTAGTATATATAATTATAATTATATATATATATATATATATATAATATATAATAGATTATATAGATATATAATATATATATAGATATATAGATATTATCTATATATTAGATATATAGATTATCTATATAAATATAGACTATATAATAGTAATCTATATATATAGATATATAGATATATATATATATATATAGATATATAGTATATATATATATATTTAGGATTATATACTATATATATATATTTATATATATAATATAAGATATAGAGATATAGATATATATAGATATATAGAGATAGATATATAGATAGATAGTAGTTATGATATATAGAGATATATATATATTGATATTATATTTATTTAGATAGAGTTTTCTACCTAAGTTAATGTTTCCTTGTATGCCTTCATCACACACAGTCTTCATGAGACAAAGGCGTAAGCTCTTGGAATAAATGTTCAGAGATGTTAGCTTTTCACAGAAAGAATGCATGTTCATAGCTTTTCTGTACTGGTGAGTGAATTAAATAATCTCTTGGCTAAATAAAATATATTACAATAATAATATTTTATGTAGCCACCACAGGCCTTTGTACTTATTCACACGTCTTGGCTTCCTCCCCTGTATGTTATCATCCAGTACTATCCAGTCAGATGGGTCTCTGTGTCACTCGTCGGCTGTCCGGTACACCCAGGGCAACTGGGAAGGCGAGACTGGGCATTCGACCGTGTGTCCATACCCAAGGGCCAGAGGCCCAATACTCTCGAGGGGAGATTAGACTTGCCAATGCTATGTACCATCCACGGATGAATAAGGCTGATCAGAGGCTGCCATCTTGTCATCTGACAGCTTCTTTCTTCCTGGGGTCAACTTGGCAGGGCATCCCTGGGAACTGGCTATCCATTGCTGGCACGGGTGAGAGGAGAAGCTAAAAAAATTCTAATCTTTAAATCGCAGTATTTGTTGAAAAAGCTTAAATTCCTCTCTCATGATTTGATGTTGATTATGAAAAAGTAAATTCGCTTTTCTGGGAAAAAAAATATTAAATGAGTTCAATACAGTATTTGTGCATACTTTGTAAAAGGATTCATTAGATATATTTAAAGTAAAGGTTTTGTATAACTTTTATATGAGTTTTAACATTTAAAAACATTCAAGAACGGACAATGAGAATATTTTGTCTAAAAAATGCTGTGCGCAAGAGGGAAACTTGAATAATATCAGGTTTGATCAAGTTAATCAAGCAGTACAGGCATAACTTCCTACTGTGCCACATCTTTTTACAGCACTGCAACTCTCAAAACTGAGATCTTATCATGGGTGTAGTCATGGACATTTTCACATGCAACAGAAAAGTTCGTGTTCATGATTTATTTTCAGCAACCAAGGGTGTGATGCTTTTGCGTAATGCCGTTTCTTTCTTTAAGTATCCCCAACTTGAATTTATTTTGTTGCTCTAATGTGTTTAGTTTGCATCCTTATATTTTACAGGAATATTGTTAATTTAATTTTTTTACACTGATTAAAAACTGAAAAGTATGTACCTACATATTTTTTATATGATAACCAACTTTTAGATCGTATATTTTAGTCATAAGTTAAAAATTGATAATGTTGTTTTTGAAATCTACACGTTAATTATTTATAATGAGATCTTTCATCCTCTAAGAATAATATATATGTTAAATAAATTATACAATATTTAGTGTGAAGAAGACTCATTCTCTATAGGCTGATCGATTTATTTTTTTTTTCCAGTCTCAATATTTACAGCGTTTCCTCGAGAAGTATCTAGATCAACTGGGGTGCTCTAGATGCATGTTATTGTTGCTGCTGAATAATAGACTGCACCAGTCACCGAAGTGTCTTCGCCCAGTGTCCACCTTTAGTTCTCCTTGTAAACGATGATATAGTTTTGGTTGTTCGGGTGTGAGATCACGAGACGTTGACGTTCAAGCTTAACCATACACAAAATCTAGCTCATATTATTTTTGATCATTTTCATTTCTTGTGGCATGACTCAGCATAACTTATGGGACTCTATTAATTGTCATGATAGGCATTTTGAGGCGCAGGATATGGCTGGACATGCTCTACTGTTACCACTGTGATTTCCGCCTAAGCGTGTCTTGATCTATGATGGATGCCGCAGCTGAACTGTACCTGAGGCTTCTGTCAGGTGCGCTGTGAACATGCATAAGATTTGGTCCATCATCGCACTAGACCACTATGACAAAGATGCATTGAGGAACTCCAGTAGAGCACATCCTTTATCTACGCAACTACAGGAACATACATGCTGTCGCTCTTGTGTCACACTGTGTTTAACGTCCAGTTCCACGCAAAAACACAAACTCGTAAGTATACTCAGGTATTGGTCCGAATTACATTATATAAAATTGATTATTTTACATCTTTGAATCATCTGGGTACAGACTGACTTTGTATATTGTTTTAACATAATAACAACATACCCTACTAATTTATAACTCACTTTGGCACTAGGTATAATAAGTGACTACCTACATAAAATTCAGAAGAAAGAAGATTGTGACTCAATATATAATACACTCCTGATGGGTTTAGAAAAAGAGATATAAGGATCTAATCCTTTTTTCTCGCCAGTGATTATCGATTTGGGTGCAGCTATATAATGCAGGAACAATCAGTTTAGTTCAACTCTCATATTCTGGATTGTTTACATGAATTTTACTCGCCCGATATCAGTCTAGTGTTTAAGAAAGAGTATTAACGTATTTCATTGTCTCATAATATACAGGTTCGGTATGTCAGTTTTTGAATATTCATCGCTTTTTCATGGGTCAATGAGGTGGTGGGACAGGCTCACTACGGTTTTATATTCATCATGGGTTGCAGTTGAAATAGTCTCTAGAGATAATCCTTTGCTCACTAATACTATAAAAGCTTCCTTGTCAGATTGGTTAAATAGTAATACGTCAAAAATGAGATTGTGAGATATGGAAATTCAATAAATATTTAGCTATATACTAGATCCTGTCATCTTACACATCTTTGATGCTCGACATATCAATGTGGGCAAGAGCTTCCTGTTCATAACTACAGTCTTTGGTGGGACTACAGCTGGGTAAATCAATCCTGAACAATGCTATTTTCCTCATTCAGTATAGTGCGCTTTGGAAACTGTGAGTCCTCAGGGATGAGCTAAATAAGTGGACCCAGTGGGAGGCAGGGTGCTAATGTGGTTAGAGTCAGTTGAAGGGGCTGATTGGATCAAAAATGAATAAATTAAGCTTTGGTTGTGAACACTTTTGACAAAAAATGAAACTTATCATAGCCTTTCGTCATAAATATGTGCTAGATTTTTAGGTGAATACAGTATAGGTGTTCGTAGTTATTGATATCTTTCTAGTGGATTAATAGTAATATCATATTATATGTGCTTCACTCAGTGAAGGCACTGTGGTGTGCTTGATGATACGATACCTTCAGACAGAAAATGAATAAAAACAAGTCCATCGCCAGCGTTCAGGTGGTCATGACAGTAGTCAAGTGCCTTCTATACGACATCGGAGATATGATATTGTATCCTCCGTGTTCTAATGTGGGTTTCTCCATTGGAGGCCCAGTGTAGTTAGAGAGGACTAACTTTAAGCTAAGATTAGATATCTCATGCTGAGTCAGGATTCTGACTTAGGTATACTACGATAGATCCTCGGTGCCTCGCTCACTAGCATCTCCATCTAATGTGACCCAGCTGACATCATGACTAGATGTGGATTATAGACAGTGGCAGGGAGTGTCAGGTTGGTGATAGGTCTTGAGTACGTTTGTTGGGTTTGCTCGATCTTGTAGATCTATAGGTGTACATTTCGTGGTACAAACGATAAGTTGTGTGGAGGGAATCCATCCTTTGTCTATTTATTAGTATTTGTTATCCTTATAATGTTGGTTAAGTTTTGGTCACAGTTGATCCACAGAGTGATTTGTATGTATTGATTTGGTTCTTCCTCAGATCACATGGGAACGTTGTTTTCCGGCCTGAACATACATCTGATACATCTCTAACACTAACACACCACACACCAAACACACACACACACACACACACACACACACACACACACACACACACACCACACACACCCCACACACACCACACACACACACACACACACACCACACACACACGACTCTATAGAAGACTGGAGCTTAACTTATTAACTCCAGAAACATTCCTTCATTGATCGCAGAGTTAAACTACAACTTTAAAAGATCTGTTGGTAGCAGATTATTAGCTGTAAAGGCACATTTTAGGAGGTTGTATGCCCTTAGAAATTTACAATTAAACAACAGTTTGCCTGGAAATAAAATCAGTAACTTGTAAATTGTTCATGAATACGCCAATGGTTGTTGAGCTTGTGCCATTTATGTCCCCACCCAATGTCCTGTGATTGTCTGTAAGGAAGAAATTCCACCCTTAGCTATTTCCATACCGCTATGCATCACTGCTGGTGTGTGTAGGGAGTTAGTTTGTGATAAAGCGTTTCATACTTCAGTTCACCCTTCTATTTGTGTTAGTGATGTCCTGTATTTCCCAGAATACTTTTTGACAGCCCTAAAAAGAACAAGCCTGAACTTGATTTGAGTGCTCTCTCAAACTACACTTAAACTGAGTCAGTGTTATATGTATGCAATACTGATAGCATTACAAGTCTTCCCAGTTGAGAAGGTAAGTCACACCTATTTCTAAAAAACTTCCCTGTAGCTACATGACATTATGAAATTTTAAAGCAACTGTCAGTGGGGAAATTGCACCCGTTCTTCTTCTATGCTGGATGTGTTTCTCTGTGTCGGTGCCTACATATGACATGACCAATTATCAGTGTGAAAAAGAAAAATACACGACCAAACGAGACATTGGAACTATAAATACACCACTAACAGAAGTGCTTTTAGGGTGAATTTTCCCTTCCAGAAGCAGCTGATCTGTCCGTGTCCATGGGGCAACCTGATGAGTGCAGTCTAGAGTCATTCAGACATTCAGAGCCGAGGGTCATTGTTCGGTGCGGGCCGAGCCTTACCCCTTTCTCCACAGCTGTGGATGGGCTCTGCTGGCCGTCCCCCTGCCTGTTCACCCTGTCCGCCTGTCCATTTCCTCTCAGTCACTTGATGCGGTGGCGGACCAGAGATGACTCGTCCGTTATCTCCCCGGAGCGATCTCTGCGTCGACAGGGCAGCACCAGCAAGAGCAACAGGATGATGAGGACCAGGGCGCAGACCGCCATCAGGGCGTAGGAGATCACCCACAGGAGAGGCTCTTTCAGCACACCGCCAGAGCAGTTGGTCGCCACGTCCGCTGCTGAGAAGGGCCCCGCGATCTCCGACAGAGCCACCCCACCGCTCACTGCACAGAAATGAAAGACAGAGTTACAGAGTTGAGAGAGATATAAAACGTCAACTGTATTACGATAAAGCTTAGATGTTGATTTACTTGTGGCAGCTTCTTAAAACAACAGTTGTCTTAGACTCGCGGCAATAACCGAAGTAAATGTTATTTGCTTTATTCTAGTTTTCTTTCTCTGTCTAGATTTTACCAGCCAGCTGAGGAATTAGAGCTGGCAACCTTACTGTCACAAGCCTGCATCCTTAACCTTCAGCCTACATCTGTTCCAAGTCTGTTTGCTTAACTCAGAAACAAAAGTGGTCTTTGTACTTTAAGAGTGGGAGGCCTTGCCTAAGCTCATATGTGCACAGAACTACGGGGAAGTACCACTGTTTGAGGTCTCACATTTGCAGTTCAGGTCATAATGAACGGATATTCTCAAGGTCTTGGTCAGTGAACTGAAGCACTATTTAATAGTAACACTTTTTGCTTTTCCGTAACTCATCAGTTAATCATGGCACTTTATGGACTTCCTGACCGTGATCTTTCTGTTACATGTCTTGAAGCAATATCATCAGCCTTATTTGTAATAGATGAACATTGAAGAAACCATGCTAGAGATTAAACCTGTAGCCCTTTCATAAAAGCTTTAATATTTGCTGTTCTAGGTAAATATGAGGGATCCATCATTCCTCTGTGTTTTATTTTTTACACAAGCAGCTTGTAAATACAGAGTGTATTTATTGCTACTTCATTCTCACTGAAGACTCACAGATTACCATCCATTCAATGTTTTCAGATACAGTGAACCAATTTGTTAACGTCAGCTGACAATGTTAGGACACATGATATGATTTATGATGTTTTACATACTTTCCTGTCTTAGTCTTTTATGTATCCTCACCTGCACAGTTGCTGAGTGCGAAGCCCAGTCTCCGCTGGGCGCGGTCGAACACCACGTAGAAGCCTTCCATAACGGTAGCGCCGATCACCAGGCCATTAGCTGACGAAGACACTCCGAAACGGAAGCAGTCTAACGTGCCGTCCACGTCTGTGATTGACTGGATGTACATCTGCAAGACAACACACATCAATAGAGAGGAAGAAGGACCGACAAGAGTTTGTGGCTCTGAGGTTGATGGAGAGCTGTGTTTATGTTTATTCAGGTACCTGAGGCAGGATGGTGATGCGGAAGGACTGGCTGGTGTTTGTGGCCCTTAGGTAGATGGACAGCTTGGGGAAAAACCTCCAGGGGGTCTCTCCCTTCATCCAGCATGCAACCTTGGTGCCATCCCAGAACCCTGAAGAAAAATCCTGGATCTGAACCAAAAGAGGAAAAAACACATAAGAGGAATCGACAGAGAGAGACAGAGACAAACAGAAAGAAACAGAAGGTCAGTACAGCACCAAAACAGGTTTAGCTGTTCTCTTTCATTTTCCCCACTTGGGATTAATCTGCAAAGATGCGGGTACATTAATTGCAAACGTTGCTTCCAGGTTCAAATTAACCTTGAGTACTGTTTGTGCGCGGTTACAAAAAGGTGAATAATGTGTAAAGTAGAATCGGTTGGGGGAAGAAAAAAAAAACAAAGCATGGGCGCACACATATATTTTTATAGCAGAAAAAAATCCTGATCCTTCCTCTCAAAGATACTACGTCCTTGAACAGTGAGTGTGCTATCCTCCCCTGCATCTCTTTGCTCTGACAACATGTTTCATCATTGTCTGTGGAGAGACGGCAACGTACCAGAGAGCTGCGTCTGATGGCTTCTACCACCGCATTGAAGACGTTGACAGGAAGACGCAGCAGTGTCGTCCCACTGTCAACTATAGCTTTATCCATGTTATACTGAAAGAGAGGGAGAAAGAGTGAAGTGCAGTAGGAGTTTTCTCAGTTCAACAGGCTCCTATGGAAGACCTTGAGGCAAACATAAAATACAGAACATGAGGAAGTTCTTTCACAAGCAGAAAAAATACCAAACAGACTACATTCCTTTGCAGTATGGCTAGTCTGTTTCATTTCTGCGTTGTAACCGTGATACAATCAACTCATCAAGAATGAATGTTGTACCACCAATGTTGCTTTTGTGCTTCAAATATTTACTGGCATTTAATGTAAATCTCTTCATGGTGATGTTTGAGATAATTATGGAAGCAATGCAGTGAGTTTGAAGTTTACCTCTCTGCAGTCCAGGTCCAGATTCTGGTCGCCAACCTCCAGCTTCAAAACCTCCACTTGGTAGTACCACTCCTCTACTATAGGGGTGTACCACACTGACCCCCGATACAGAGTTGGTTCAGCCCCTCCCATGATCTGAGGAAGGAACAAAAATACTTACACTCATCTGTGGGTCAACTGTGACCAAAACAACACAGTTAATATCCAACAAGAGTCTAGCAAAGGTTTATCCCTCCACATTTTGGTAGAATACATAAACACAAACACAAACACAAACACAAACACACACACACTCCCTGCCATCTTATCCATCTGTCTGGATCAGTGGGTCACATGATGGAGATGCAGTGAGCGAGGCACCGAGGCTGCTCGTGTAACCGTGACAGACCTGCTCTCAGCAGGATACTATCTTAGCTTAATTAGCTCCTCTCTAACTACACTGGGCCTCCAATGGAGAAACCACATTGACGAGGAGGATACAAGCTATTAGGTTTCTAAAACGCTGCTATGTCTGAGCCACCAGTGGTGGACTTTATTTTGTCTGAGGAGTACTCAAGCACATCCCAGTCCTCACTGAGTGAAGCACATAATTGATACTGTTCATGTTAAATAACTCGACACCGACTGTATCACAAAAATACACAATTAGAGGCAGAAATCATTTTTGTCAAAAGTGTTCACAACCAAAGCTTATTTTTCATTTGATCCAACAGCCCCTCCTGACTACTCACAAGACTGCCTCCCACTGGGTCCACTGTGCTACTGGCTGACAGTCCAGCGCCGCACATCTGAAGGGAAAAGATGTCAGGAATTCCCAGCTGTTGCACCAAAGAGTTGAAGAAGGGCTCCACAGACTTGTCAGGCTAATTGAGAGACAGGACATATGTAATCATTAATTCCTGTCAATCCATTTTGAGCGTTTACATTTGCAATGGAAGCTTTTAGATTGTGTGATTATCCAGACTTTCCAACCAATAACAAAGTATACGTTTAGAAAACATGAATGAAAAAGTGAATTCTAAAAATACATAACTGAAATGAAGTCTTAAAGTCTTTAATAGGGCTTGGGGAGTAAAAAAGGACAAGAATAAATACACTGGTTGCTGCTATAACAGATATCTGAAAAAGGATTTGACCCTAACCGTTTTCCCCATAGGTGATATTGTTGACAATTCTTTCTTCTGATTAGGTAGCCAAACATGTAAAGTGTTTAAAAAGGGTAGTGTTATATTACTGTGTTACAGTGTTATAATATTAATATTCGGACCACTGTGTGTACTACGTGTGTATGCGTGGACTGGCGTAAACTGTACGAGACAGCGGTATGTTCCTTGAGAAAAGGATGTTCTCTCTGTTTTCCTCAGATGCATTTTCATGTCAGTGCTATGATATCATGTCACGCATGACAGACAGCCCTCAGGCAAGTTCAGCCTGAGCTCTCTGAAGACGCTGGCGGCACAAAGTGGTCAGTGTGGCCATATCTGCCCCCAATCACTGGCATTTCATCCCAAAGGTTGCTGTAGTCAGCACAGAATGAAAGAATGTATTGTGTTGGTTTAAGCTGACGTCACTCTCGTCCCATCGACACCAAATTATCACGTTAAAGAAAAGTGGACACTGGGCGAAGCACCTTGGTTCTGTGCGTCTATCACACATACATAGGATGTTCTTGTACCTGAATGTAATTGACTGGAAAAAAAAAAAACACCTTGAGAATGAGCTTCTTCTACACTAAATTTATTTTTAATATTTCTAATGAAGAGACCAGATAATTACGTGTAGTTTTTAGTCCATTAATTAACTTATGACAAAACTAACGGACTGAAGTGGTACAATATGTAGGGTAATACTTTTCAGTTTTTTAATTCAGTGTAAAAAATTAAATTAACAAATATTCCTGTAGAGAATATAAGGATGCAAACTAACACATTAGAGCAACAAAAGTAAATTCAAGTGGGGATATTAAAGAAAGAAACGGCATTACGCAAAAGCATCACACCCTTGGTTGCTGAAAATAAATCATGAACACGAAACTTTTCTGTTGTCATGTGAAATGTCCATGACTACACCCAGATAAGATCTCAGTTTGAGAAGTTGTTCAGTGCTGTAAAAAAGATGTGGGACAGTAGGAAGTTATGCTGTACTGCTTGATTAACTTGATCAAACCTGATATTATCAAGTTTCCCCTCTGTGCGCACAGCATTTTTTAGACAAAATATTCTCATTTGTCCGTTTCTTGAATGTTTTTTAAATGTTTTATAAACTTCATATAAAAGTTATACAAAACCTTTACTTTAAATATATCTAATGATATCCTTTACAAAGTATGCACAAAATACTGTATTGAACTCATTTATATTTTTCAGAGCGAATTTACTGTTTTCATAATCAACATCAAATCAGTGAGAGAGGAATTTAAGCTTTTTCAACAAATACTGCGATTTAAGATTAGAATTTTTTTTAGCTTCTCTCTCACCCGTGCCAGCATGGGATAGGCCAGTCCCAGGATGCCCTGCCAGTTGACCCCAGGAAGAAAGAAGCTGTCAGATGACAAGATGGCAGCTATATTGATGATGATGGTCCCATTTGGGCCTTTGGGGATGGACACACGGTCAATGCCCAGTTCGCCTTCCCAGTTGCCCTGGGTGTACCGGACAGCCACAGTCCGGCCATCTGACTGGTAGGTACTGGAGCTAAATACAGGGGAGGAAGCCAAGACGTGTGAATAGAGACAAAGGCCTGTGGTGGCTACATAAATATTATTATTGTAATATATTTTTATTTAGCAAAGATTATTTAATTCACTCACCAGTACAGAAAAGCTATGAACATGCATTCTTTCTGTGAAAAGCTAACATCTCTGATACATTTATTCAAGAGCTTACGCCTTTGTCTCATGAGAGACTGTGGGTGATGAAGAGCAGACAAGGTAACATAACTAGGCTAGAAAACTCTATCTATATATATATCTATATATATATCTATATATATATATATCTATATATATATATATCTATATATATATCTATATATATCAAACCGGGAGTCCATTATACTCTGGCTCCTGCCATCATTCTGATTGACCACATAGCATAGTGGATCTGAGAGGAATGGACAGGCGGACAGGGTGAACGGCAGGGGGAAGGAGCAGAGCCCACCACAGCTTGTGGAGAAGGGGTAAAGGCTCGCCCGCACCGAACAATGGCCCTCCGGCTCTGAATGTCTGAATGATCTTAGACTGCACTCTCAGGTTGCCCCATGGACAGGACATATCCAGCTGCTTCGTGGAAGGGAAAATTCACCCTAAAAGCACTTCTGTGTAGTGTGTATTTATAGTTCATGTCTTCGTTTGGTGTGTATTTTTCTTTTCACCACTGATAATTGGTCATGGTCATATTAGGCACCGGACACATCGAGACATCCAGCAGTAGAAGAAGACGGGTGCAATTTCCCACTGACAGTTGCTTTAAAATTTCATAATGTCATGATAGCTAAGCAGGGAAGTTTTTTAGAAATAGGTGGTGCTTACCGTTCTCACTGGGAAACCTTGTATGCTATCAGTATTGCATACATATAACACTGACTCAGTTTAAGTGTAGTTTGAGAGAGCCTCAATCAAGTTCAGGCTTGTTTCTTTTTTTAGAGGCTGTCAAAAAGTAATTCTGGGAATACAGGACATCACTCACCAAATAGAAGGGTGGAAACTGAGTATGAAGACGCTTTATCCAATACTCCCTACACCACAGGCAGTGATGTAGAGGTATGGAAAAGCTAAGGGGTGGAATTTCTTCCTTAACAGACAATCAAGGACATTGGGTGGGGACATAAATGCTACAGAGCTCACACCATGTGGGTATTCATGAGACAATTTAAAGTTACTGATTTTATTTCCAGGCAAACTAGTTTGTTTAATATGTAGGAATTTCTAGGGATACAACCTCCTAAATGTGCTTTTACAGCTAATAATCTGCTACCACAGATCTTTTAAGGTGTGGTATTTCACTCTGCCGATCAATGAAGGAATGTTTCTGGAGTCTAATAGAGTTTAAGCTCCAGTCTTCTATAGAGTCGTGTGTGTTGTGTGTGTGTGTTGTGGTGTGTGTGTGTTGTGTGTGGTGTGTGTCGTGTGTTGGTGTGTGTGTGTTGTGTGGTGTGTGTGGTGTGTCTGTGTGTCTGTGTGTGTGTGG